GAGCCCACTTTGAAGCTTCACTCAATCAGCTGCACACTTATCATGCCATGCCATGCCATGTCAAGCCATACAATACATGCCAAGCGATAATCTCTTTAGTGTCACGGGCATAGGCCGTAGGCACAAATAAAGTTCCAAGGAAAACTGATTCCATGCTAATAAGGACTCTGGAGTGAATAAAGGATCCCAGATGACCGGAACAATACGCTCTGCCACATCACATCCTGAGAGCAAATCAGATTAGAGCTTTTACAGTATGTGGGCACCATGGGGCCTGGTTAGAGCCTGTTTCGAGTACTATTGAGCCCACAGGACCAGAGGTGGTTTTGCTTTCGTTTTACATAGCTGTTATTCCAAAGCTATCACCTTTCATTGATAAAAGTTGAAGTGGCGAAGCTGAGCACTTACTGTAGCACAATCTATCTAATTACCTGCTGTACAAGCCATGCAGATGAGGCGATGTAGTTATCGATCTCGCACAGAGTTTCATAAGCTGTTGGGAAATTGAGAAATATGCATCTCCTCCGGTTCGGTTCCTTTTACTGTTACAAGTTAATGGCATTGGGGCAGCAGGGAAAATACATGGAGTATAATCAGGCTTCACAATAGGCTTAGCAGTTTTATTTTCCTCAGCTGTAATGTAAAATCCCTCATTGTGTCAGCGGGTAAAAAGACAACTAGCTGGGAAGTGATCGAGTGTGAAGAATGGGATTGGATTTATGGAGGCGCAAAGGTCCGACAGCTGGAGCCTCTGACGGAGAGCAGAGAGCTCGCATTCATTTGCTTTGTGTCATTTATTCAGGCAATCAAATAAGCAGTTAGTTGACTCGTAAAGAATCCCCTCCACCTCTCTCATAATTAATTTTGAGCCAACAGCAGCTGGAAGAAGAACTGCTAGGTGAATCATTCTGCACCCGTGCACAAACACGCAAATAAACGCATGGGATTTGGATGGGCCATTCCACATCACCATGGACTTCTTTACTGCAGGTCACATAGCACTTGCTCTAGTCCGCTTTGTGTATCTCATTAAATGCCCTCTTACAGAGGCACCTGATCGCTTCTCTGCTACTGCCAAGACTTGCCCACAGGGGGGAAGCCTATCTGGCACACACACATGCAGGGACACACACATGTCTGAAGTATATCCTGCCTATCTAACACCCAAACAAATCCCTGCCACTTCTCTGAGTGCATGCTGACTGATAGCAAGTGTTACAGTCAGACTTGGAGGTAAATGCTGATTTCTGGATGGTTTTTAAAAGGCAGACTCTTTCAGTAATTAGTCTCCTTCAGCCTTCAATCCATGTTGATTAAGAAAATCAGTTCACATTAAGGTCATCGGAGCTGAGGGCAGGTCTGGAGAGCAATCTGTTCTTTAATTATATATATATTTAAAAAAAAAAGTTTTAAGCCTTATTTTCAGAGTTTTCTAACTCCTTATTATTTTTGGAACAGAAGACATACGCCTTTATTTATTTCCTTTCCTTTATGATGACCATTAATGTGTTACCCATAGTATATCTCACTTTTCTTTCATTTAAGGTAAAGAGTTATTGAGTGTATAGCAGAAATCCCTATGGGATCCACTTCACACATCGGAATGATTTCCGTTTTTGTCAAAGAATATGGCCGCGTGGTAACCTAATGTAATGCTTTATGTTGGAATTCTCAGTCACCGTAGAGTTGCAGCTATACAACATTACAAACAGACTTGTGCACCTGGCTATCCGCCCACACACACACACACGACCCAACTGCTTCATCAAACTGCTGTCGTACCCAATTCCATTTAACAGTCCTCCGGTCTATGTTCAGTGACCTTTTCAATACAAACAAAAAGGTAGACTACAATAGAAATAAAAACATTTGCCATTTGCCTGTGTGCACATGTGTGTGTTCTAAAGTTCTATCTTTGTGAGAACCAACATCATGTGAAAACAGAGCCCTATAAAGACGTTTATTTTGATGATGTCATTATGATAACCTCAGTTTGGGTTTGGAGACTACATATTGGAAGAAAGCCTGTATTACAAACTGAAGGTGTCACACTGGAAGGGGGTTAAAGGTTGTCGTCCAGTTGAATTGTATGTAAGATAAAGCATTCATATCTGTATTTATGTGTTTGAACACAAATGCAGTGCAGAGGAAACTGGGAACAGTTCATAATTATATTTAATTTCAAAACTCTGGCACAGAGCAGGTCAGGTAATGGGCGCAGATATATAAAAAGTCCCAGCAGACTAACCAATAGGGAATAGCCAAAGGGTCGGTCGTGGCCAGGCCGAGGATCAGGAAACAGGAGCAGGATTTGCGGTTAGCGAGGTAACTTCAGGGTTAACTCTGGGTTTCCGGTCCTACGGCGCTGGTTCACTTCTTACCGGGGTAGATCTCCATGGTAACTTATGCTGAACACCTAACCTGCTCCGGAGCAGGTGTGGTTCCAGACAAGAGATCAACTCAGTGAAAGCACCGCCTGCTGACCAATCAGAGCTCAGTGTGCAGAGTTTAAAGCTATCAAGTCATATTGCAGGATGAAGGAAAGACGCCGACGTGTCCCACTTATCCTTCATATCACATCATCGATCATATAATAGCCTAATATCTCATATATTTCCTTATCAGTCAGCTTCTCGAGCCGTATCTGGCCGTGCAACACCTACTGTAAGCTTAAAATAATACTTTGGCATACAGTATGTGACTATAAGTTAAATTGGCACATACTGTATGCCAAAGTATTATTTTAAGCAACACGTTAAGTTGAAGACACACTCAAATGCAATTAAAGTCAGATCCACTCGTGTCTTAGATGGGGCAGTGATATCATAAACTGTTAATGTACGCATTCAAACACTCTGTAGTTTATTTTTATTTTTTACAAGATGTTCTGTATTCACCTTGCAGGTGATGATGTGGCTTTTATCCTGGTTTATCTGTTCAAGTCATGGATGTTTAAAGTTTAACTTCTTCATATTTGTCTAACATGATAGTTTACTATTCAATCATGAAGTATGACTCTGCGCTCTCAGTAGGCCTACGCTTGTCCATGTTTGTGATTGGTCAAATGTTGCTAACCCCGCCCCTTTCTCTTGAACGCGCTCTCAGCCGGACAGATTAACCGAGTTGATAACCAGCATCGCAGGGCCGCTTAGCGAGATCGCGTTTGCTAGGGTTAGTTCAAGGGTGTAACTTTGGTTTGAGAAGTGGGGGGGACACAAAACAGGGGGTCCTCCACAATTAAACATTTTCTCAATTTAATTATGGAATTAAATTGAGAAAATGTTTAATTGTGGAGGACCCCCTGTTTTGTGTCCCCCCCACTTCTCAAACCAAAGTTACACCCTTGAACTAACCCTAGCAAACGNTGGTCCAGCCTGTCTTGCATTCACCCTGGACACCTTTAAACAAACAGTATATATGTAAAGTCCATGTCTACAACAATATAACTGATTCTCTTCTGTGAAACATGTGGATTGTGTATTGTCCGAGTCAAGGGTCCTTTTATTTTAACTGTAACTTTGGAAGTTGTGGTTACCAATGCTACTTTTATTTGTACCATTTGGTTAATGCAATTAATAAAAACACAAAGGTTTGGGTTCTTTCTTCAGATGACTGTGACGTTAACGTGTAAGCTCAATAATGAATTCCAGTCAATACCAAACATATTGTAATATTCTAAGTAATCATCTTGAAATATGACATTAAATAATTGTATATACACACATCTTATTGTGAGGTTGATTTCACCATACACTACTTCGACTTGCTTGTCCTACATACTTGAGCATAGCCAATTTTAAATTTAACCTTAGCGATGCATACAGTTCCTACATACAAAATTAATCTCTCTCTAAGTTTACAAGATGACCTATTTATCAACCTCAAACAGGAGCTGTTTTTCACAGTATTATCCCACTTTTACGCTTAATACCTCTCTAATTTCGTTTTAACATTGTATAATATAACCAGTCTATGATTTTAACTTGGAGGCTACGATTAGCATCGTTAGCCACCGTGTAGCTACCACTCGCTTACACGCTAACCCAAAGCCTTTAACCTTCATTTACGTAGATTAAATCATTAAAACACATAAATAAAGCACTCAAATTTCACTGACCGCAAACCGATTCATGCACGTCTGTTTTAACCGCAGAGCGTAGTCACAATAGCCCGATATATAAGCATGAAGAACAACAGCCCACGGTCAAGTTGTGTTTCCTGGAGAAACTGACCAGCAGAGTCCCTGTTAGCTAGCTTCACGGAGCAGCTAGCAGAGAGACAAGAAGCTAGCAGCAGCAGTCACTTGACAGAGCCGTCACTCAATGTGACCACGCCCTAATTTATGCAAAAACTTTAAGACCTAATATAAATAAAAGGGTCGTGTTAGAAAACAATTCACTCACAGATCCATAATCATGAAGGTGGAATCTAACTATATTGATAATAAAATGTATGGACCCAGGGGTAGAAACATGTTTTTTTCTGCTGTAAAATTGGGCATTTTAAGATGAGGGTCTATGGAAATTTTTCCTTTCTGCAGCCATCGCCTATCGACCAATATATGAACTGCAGTATGTGGCACTTCCCTGTTGGCGTCCCGGCTCTTCCCCAGAGTTTGCCGCTTGGTGTTAGCAAGTGTTTGTGTGTCTGTGTATTTCCCCCATAAGGCAAGACCCGCCCAACTCTGTCTCTGATTGGCTTACCCTGAAATGTTACCCCGCGTTAACCAATCATCCCTCCTCTCTATTCACTTTCACTTTTCCATGGTACTGTGAGAGGACATCGCTGTATTTGCCTGTAAATTACATCTGCAGGGAGATTCGGTTCAGTTGGATCACATAATGTAACGCAGTAACGCACCCATTTAAATCACAGTAACTATAACGGCGTTACTGAATGGAAATAGGTAACTAGTAACGTTATTAGTTACCGCAAAAGGTAGTTGCGTTACAGTAACGCGTTAGTTTGTAATGTGTTAGTCCCAACACTGGTTATGGACCATGCGATTTGATGCCAAGCACAGCTTCTTCAAGCAAGTAGCAAGTCACAGAAACTGCTTTAAGAATGTGACATACTCACTGTCAGCTAAACATCAGTTAATGGTTGGCTATTACATTCATTCATCCAGTCTCAAGAAATCCAGCTTGGAGGTCACCAGTGTCTCAACAGTGCCTGTTGATGTCCTTAATGAGGAAGTGGCATTATCAATCAAGAGGAAATACCCAGATGTGACAGAGGTTAATCTAGCCAAAAATGTCTCAAGTAATGGTTTGAACTACAGAAACGGAATGATAGTTGCTCATGGCTCTGCTGGTGGGCTGCCAGAATTTGCTGAGATTCTTCAAATGTGTATTGTTAAGGACCAGTTGAGCTTCATTGTAAGGGTGTTGTGTGCATGGTATAGGGACCATTTTAGAGCTTTTCAGTTGACCCCATCACCCAGTAAAGAGGTTGCCTTGATCGAGCTTGCAGAATTGGCTGATACATATCCACTTGCTGACTAAATGGTTGGAGGGATCCGAATGGTAACCCCAAAAAGGCACATAATCGTCTGAGCTGTTAAGTATTACATTAACATATTACTTATACACATATGGATTTCCAGAACCAGCACCTTACCGTGGTAGAGAGGTTTGTGTGCCCTGATGAACCTGGGGGCTGTGTTGTCTCGAACCTTATGTTCCTGTTAGGGTCTCCCATCGGCATACAAATTGGTCTCAGGCAAGGGGCAGACTAAGATTGGATTCACAAGACTCATGAAAAGGACGGACACACGAAGTTTGGAGGATACCCGGCCCGGAGGAAGCCCTGGGGTCCCTCTGGAGCCCAGGCCAGAAGGAGACTAGTCTGCGAGCGTCTCTTCTGGTGGCCGGGCTGCCACGGAGCCGGCAGGGCACAGCCCGAAAAGGCGATGGCGGTGCAACACCTCCGCTTCTCCGTCCCGCGGGGCCCACCACCTACGGGAAAAACAGCGATGGGTCGGGTGGCGCTGCCAGAAGGTGCAGGTGAAGCTAGAGGGGTCTCGACGGACCAGACCCCAGGGGCAGAAAGCTGGCTTGGGGACGTGGAACGTCACCTCTCTGGGGGGAAGGGATCGGAGCTTGTGCGGGAGGTGGAGCGTTACAGTTGGACTGGTTGGGCTCACCTCTACGGCACAGCGTCGCTCTGGACCTTACTCTGGATAGGGGGTGGGACTCTATTCTTCTCCGAGTTGCTCAAGGTGTGAGGCGCCGGGCGGGTTTGGGGCATATCACAAAGCCGCCGGTTTGGGTGCTTCGTTGTTGGAGTCTACCCCAAGTGGACGAGAGTCGCCTCCCTACGCCTGCGGGTTATGGGGGGGGAAAACTCTGACTGTTGTGTGTCTTATGCACCCAACAGCAGTTCAGAGATCAGCCTTCTTTGGAGACCCTGGAAAGAGTCTGTATGGGGCTCCTGAAGGGGGCTCTTTAATCTTGCTTGGGAGACTTCACGGCACATGTGGGCA